TTGAACGACGAACGAGTGAAATTTATGAAATTAACTTGAAAGATAGTTTATCTTGAGTAAGCTTTTTCTGCTGATTTGGAATCTGTACTGAGAGTATAATGCTATGATTTAAACATTTGCATTATTTTATCTGGTTCTTTCTAGACACGCCGTTGGAAAAGAATGAGCTGGTTAAAAGAGATTTGGGAAAGATTGTTCCATTGGAGTAACGTTACGCATATTGCAAACGCTAGTGAAGGAGACATATGGGTCTGTTTTGAATCGAATAGTTTGGAATTTCAAGAACTAAACACTGGACTGCTTGTTGGTGAAGTAGCAAGAAATAGACCAATCGACCTTAGACTAAACAGCGTGTCAAATTCTGGTTGGGTTAAAATAAAATCCAAAAAATTCCATAAAATCCAGTTGGACTGACCGACGAGAAAATGGAAAGACTAACTAAAAATGATGGACAGAGCTATTTGCATGGTGACAAGGATGGAGATTCATGAGATAATGTCTCTCCATTTCGAAATGATGTACATGCTTCTCCATTTTGTTTCTCGACTAGAAACAGTGTGTGATGCCAGACATAAGCGTAGTAATCGTACAAATATTGGTGTACAGAGCGGGGAATACATCGTGTCACAGCATCCGAAAACTCATTAGCGAAAGTTTGTTCTGACGTCGCATCTTATGATAGGCTTACCGAATGATGATAGTGGAACTTGATTCCAGATTCGGTTTTTGTCACATATTTCACTCTTGTGCAAGTAGTCATTGTCTCTTTAGCAGTTGCAAAGGACGCTTTAACTGATAGCTTTAACATATCTGCAAAGATCAAAGGAAGGTTACTGATCGTTCTCAAGAAAATCTTCGTCGTTTCGCGTTTCATGCGCCATTGATGTCATGGGTAATCAACAGCTAACACAGTCTCATATCGTAGCTGCTTTGCAAGTAGAACAAAACTTCTCTTTCAAAATCAGAAAGTCCTCAGCATCATTTGAGGACTAGCACAAGTGGATGATCTCGACTTATTTCTCAAAAGCCGACAATGAAAAACAAGAATCTGCCTTTTCATTGTCTAATAACTGTGTTCAAACGACAACACAAAGATGAAAGAGTACGATTGTTTCAATGATAAATGGAAGTGTTTCACTTAGTAATGAAAACCACAAGAGTCAATTTTTATCTATTGAAGATGATGCTCTGACTTCGATGTTCAGATCATGTTGATGTTGATCTCCGACATGCATCGACCATTGAATCACATGACGGTATGGAAACCGTGCACTCAATTTCCGCAGCACAGCTGACACTTCCTTGGCAAAATATACATGAAAAGTACGTTCTTCCTCTTCGACATCGCTAGGCAAAGGCTGGTCACTCTCCTTCTTGATCAAACTTTGCGTGTCGCATGAAGACCAAGTACATCGGTTCGCTGCCACGGTTCCTGAAAATACTGTTATCAAATCCTGAGATAGGACCAACCAAACTACTCTCGTACGAATCTGCTTCGTATTCCAATCGACTCTTTGGGGGGTTGACTGCGACTGAAGCCGTTCGTGTTCAACGATCTTCATTTCCCGGTCTCTTTCTCGTCGAGTTAGTTGCCTGATCAGTTTTTGATGTAGATCTGTGTATGGGCCATTATCTGGCCGCTCCATCAGTAAGAGAGCGTTGTTCTGCTCAAAGAATCGTTTGAAATTGTAGGAGACGAATTTCCGTGGAAAACCGTTCAATAGCAACATTAGTTCAATGTCGAGCCGTTCCTGATCGAAATCATCGACAGCTGAACACAGACGTGCAGCACGGAGTAAAGCGCCTTTAATGATATTGCGATGAACGTGACGTGGATGATCTGATAAAAATGGTACAATGTAAGGTTCTGCCGCAGGCTTGTGATAAACAGTCGTTCTCAATTGTCCTCTATTGTTTTCGACGGTAGTATCGAGAAAATCGGCAGTCAAGCCGATTGAGCGAACAATTCGAATATTCTCATCTCGATTGTTCGCTACATCGAGTAACAGATTGATTTGATCCAACGGTAGATTGCTCGTCATGAACACATCGTCGATATACCGGCCATACAGTTCATTGTGTAACTTCTGATGTTCAATCAAGGGTTGCTCCCAGTGTAACATATAGATATTCGCCAAAGTCATTGTAAACGGTGATCCCATCGCTTCACCTCGAATCTGTCGATAGTACTTGGCATTGAAGACGAAACAATTGGTATCCAGGACTAAACGAGCCATTTTCATCAATGTATCAATGGTCATCCCATTAATTCTCCCTTGGTTGGCATATTTGCAGAGGAATCGATCAATTCTTCAAGGAGATTGCCATTTTATGGAGGAATTCTTCAATTTTGAACGACGAATCAACAACGACCAGAGTCAACGTGAGGAACAGACAGAGAAAGAATTCAGATAAATGAATCTAAATCACGATTGTCTTGATACATTCTATCTTTCGATGGATGATCGAATGTGTAGTATATTCTCCTATGCTAGAGAGAAAATCGGATAGTTTAACGGTAGAACAGCCGACCGGTTATTGCACACAATTCGATCTTCAGGGTTAAAAACACAAAAAATCGTTTTCTACCCTGAAGATCAGCTTCTCGAAACTGGCTTTCTACACATGAATTTTAGGAAATTAAATTTACTGCATTTCATGTTCCAGACTAGAGTCTCAAAAATGCTTCCTTCAATGTAAGAAACGCTAAATGAAACTGTTAAAAAATTTCTTTTCGACATCAGTATTTTCAATAGCAGTATTCGTCAGTATCAGTATTTCAGTAAAATAAAGCAGATATAAACTGCAAAAAGTTCTAATATAAAGTGATCTTCACACTACTTTCAGAAATCAGTGCGTTGTATAACAGACACTGCTTTTTCGTCTCGCCTGAAATGATAAGAAAAACGTCGAAATCTACAACGTGTGTATAAAAGAAATAGAAAAGAAGACGAATATATTTCAGTTATATATAATAGTAGTCTGCTTATTTCTTATTTTTTTTCAACCGACGACGCCATCTTTTTTTTATATACACACACATTGTAGATATCGACGTTTTTCTTATAATTTCAGACGAGACGAAAAAGCAGTGTCTGTTATACAAGGCACTGTGTGAAGATCACTTTATATTCGAACTTTTTGCAGTTTAATCTGCTTTTTAACTTTTCTATAGCAGAACTGAAGCAAAAAATTAACTAATTTACGTAATAAGTACTCGGCAGTTGCAGTGAGTGAGAGAATAGGGACATATAAATCCTTTTTATTTTAATGTTGCACAGTTGGAATTTTTCTTCAGACGTTGGGTATATCAGAAACGAGACACCAGAAACATTGCATGGGCAATGTTATGTCGTTACATCAAGAAAAACATTTATCTGTATTTAGATGCATCTAGATATCTCCATATTTGTCTAGATACAACGTGCGATGTGTAATCGGTTAAAGTTAACTCGATTAATAACACCAAGCATTTTCCGACAAGATGTGGCCACTTCGCGAATATGTGTTGCCCATTTCATATTATGAGGAACACCGATTTCTTCTGGAAAAGAGCTGAAGTTCCTGCGGAGAAAAGCGGATTTCTTCAGGATAAAAGCTCAATGTCTTGTGGAGAAACGCCGATTTCTGCATTAAAATACCTGAAGTTTTTGTGGAGAAAAGCAGACTTGCTGCATAAAAACCATGAACTTCTCGTGGAGAAATGCGGACTTCTTCATTAAAAAACATGAACTTCTGGTACCAACTCAAAGCAAAGTATTCTAAAATGAAACTTGCTTTTGTCACCATCCCTGCGCAATTCGATCCTCTACTGAAACCAAGTCTTCAAGCCAGTCAAAATGATGACATTGGTGAGTTTAATGACACACTTATCCAGTTATCTACAACGGTTGGCTTCAGTATAATTGAGTGTAAATTCACACGTGATATGATCAACAGCAGCGGAATTCACTTGAATGCTTTTCACAAGAACTTTGTGTATTTCCGCAAGAAATCGATTTTTCTTAATTGACGTTTCTTACTGAAGATCTCGATGTTTCTTCACGAGAACTTCGTGTATTTCCGCAAGAAATCGATGTTTGTTCACCAAAACCTCATGTTTTTGCTTGTAGAAGCATCGGGGTTTTTCCTGGAGATGTCCGTATTTCTTCATTAGAACTTCATGTTTTTTTCGGAAAGATGTCGATGTTTCTTCACCAGAACTTCATGTCTTTTTGTGAAGAAATCGATGTTTCTACACGAGAACTACTTGTCTTTTGCTGATGAAGCCGATGTTTTTCCACCGAAAGCTCATGTTTTTCCTGAAGAAATAGATCTATCTTTAAAAGAACTTCATTTTTTTTCCCAAGAAATTAACGTTTGTTCAGAAGAAATTAACGTTTGTTCAGAAGAACTCTACTTTTTCTCATGAACATCTCAATGTTTATCCAAAAGAACCTCATGCTATTTCCTGAAGAAACTATTTGTTGAAGAATATATAACGCTAGCATAGTTAATACAACTCAAAATATATGCATTGTAAGCCAGACTGAGAGCGAGACGAGATAGAGTCCTGCTCAAAAATTTCAAACAGCCAACGGCTTTACCACATTTAGAAATCAGTGTGTTAATGTGTAGAGTCCAATCAAGATTTTTAGTAAGATATAAATCAAGATGGATATGTTGGTTTACAAAATCCAAGGAAATATTATTGATCTGTAAAGGTGGCAAGACAAGCATTGTTGATCGATGGAAAATCGTTCCAAAACATTTAAGGACGTTTAGCGGCAGGTACCATCGCACGGACCGTTTGTAGACTTTGTCAAGATCGTTATTCATACCAACAATGGACTTATTAATGTCGTTTGAGGTAGAATAGATTGAAACATCGTCGTCGAAATTTACGAGTAAGTTTGCTTTCTTTGGCATTTTTTTGAATATTTAGAGAGCTACTTGTGACTGTAAAAGCCAATGCGCTACTAAACATTGTCCTTGTAAAAAGGCCGGGGTCGCCTGTTCCACCAAATGTCATTCAGAAAAGGGTAAATGTAAGAATATGATTTAAAAAAACATAATGTTCTTTTCAGGTACACTGCTAACACTACATATTGATTGATATTGATGAACACAAATGTACATAGCTATTTTCTGCTGCGGATGTATTCTTTTTTATTCTATTTTTTTTAGGATTGAAACTCAGAAAAGTTCTGTAAATACATATCAGATTTCTTTACTACCATTCAGACGAGTGCACATGTACATAATGAAATAGATTGTTGTACTAGGAAATGTTCGTATTTGAGTGCACATATATTAATACAAAAAATGAAAAAACTACTTAGATATCATGCCACCTTTTCGCGGTTAAGTAGATCAGTATTTAGTAAGGACTTGAGTATGTTTTAGCAGTACAAGAATGTCTTCAGTCTTTATTAGAGAAACAAAGAGCATGATTATAAAAATTTAAATAACAGTTGATTGCATGATATATCAATATGATATTATATAAAAAGTATGATTATCAATTTTAAATAACAATTGCATTTCACTCTTGTAATATCTCAGATTTGCCAAG